AGGCACTCTGATCGGCATGGCGACATCGTCAGGAGGTGCCTTGACCTCTGGTCTCGCTCGAAGATTCTTTGGCCGCACGAGCAGGTCATATACGAGAGCTCCGTCCCCTACGAGGTCATCTACGAGGGGGGCTCCTACGACCAGCTCAACAAGCCATCGCTGTTCATCTTCGAGTGCATAGCGCACCGCTTCCAGAGTAGTGTGGACGTGTACCCGGGCGACTCCTCCTGGCCGCAGTTGGCCAGCGCAGGGCTTCACTCCAGCGTGGGTTTTGCGGCGGTCATGGTCGCGCCCGAGCTGGAGCACTACGTGGCCAAGACGGCCGTGGACGAGGCCGAGGTCGAGTCCATGCGGGTGCAGGCCCGCATCCTTTTGATCTCTGCCGACGCCGCCGCTGCTGGCGGACCCCTTGTCGCCGGACGCAGTGCAGCTGTCGCCGCCGTGGCGGGCCAGCCCTCCAAAAAATCGGGCCGTGGAGCCCCGAGTGGAGGCGAAGGCGCCGCTGCCGCGGCGGCGACTCAATGAGTGATGTGACCCTCGGCGGTGGGACTGGCCCAACCCCCGCCGTTCGCCTTCCTGGGCTTGCACGCGGATCCGCGGAGATCTTCCCTTTGCCCGACGACTCCAGCCTCGTCGCGGATTTCTGGATCCACCTTCAGGGGCGTGCCCAGCGCCGGTTCGTGAGGGATTGGCGGGAGTGTGTGCGCTCATTAAATTGGTTGTGGGGTGCTGGTCATCGTGAGGTCGCCCGACGGGCTCGCGGCGACGTCCATCCATACCGTTTTCAACTTCAACGTGAGGTGCTGGTGCGAGTCGCCCAGGGGGTCCAGACGTATCTGGACCCACCCTCCGACCTTTCTCCGAAGGAGGCCTTTCAGGGGCTACTTCGAGGCCGCGGGGTCTACGACACCGAGACGGCCTACACTACCCTGGCACCCTACCAACGGGGCGCGGTTTCTCTTCCTTGTGACGTCTCGACGGCCCCGGCCGTGGGAACCTTGGTCACGGGGCGCGCCCTCGAGTATCTGGTAGAGGCAGAGGAGCAGATGATCAGGGCCGACGCTGAGGTCCAGCTTGACCGTGTGACGAATGGCGAAATCAAGATCTACACCGACCCGCTGCTCGCCAATAGTCGCCGACGGTACTCCACCTTCGTGAAGGATCTGAAGCGGAAGGGCTTGGTGGGCTTCACCCGCGATCCCAAGGAGTTCGTGGGTGTTTTCTTCGTCTGGAAGAAGGAGCGCGCCTCCATGAGGATGGTGCTCGACTGTCGCCGCTCCAATCAACGTTTCGTGACCCTTCCTGGGGTCGAGCTGCTGTCGACCGAAGGGCTTGGTCGGATCGAGTGCGACACGGAGCAGACCGGCACATTGCCCATCTTCCTGGGCAAAGCTGACGTGAAGGATTGCTTCCACCGCATGATGTTCGGCAACCACCTCTCCAAGTACTTCTGCTACCCGGGCGGCATGGCCAAGGAGTTTGGCATCGTCGGGCAGTTGGTGGAGGGGGGGCCTGCTGATTACCTCTGGCCATGCGCCCTCGCGTTGCCCATGGGCTGGACGTGGTCGCTCTATTTCGCTCAGGTGGCCAACCTCGGCCTGGTGGAACGGGTCCCCGCGGTGGCGTCGAGTTGCGCGGCCACCGATCGAGGGCCCCCCATCGTGCTGTCTCCGACCTCCTCCTGGCACTACGTATACGTCGACAACGTTGGGCTCATGTCGCTCGATGCCTCCTACGTCAAGGGGGCTCTGGCGGACACCATCGCGGCCTTCGACGCCGCGGGCCTCGTCATGCATGACATCTCGGTGGACTCCGACACCGCCGAAGCGCTGGGAGTGACGCTCGATGGCCAGAAACACCAGACCCTCGTCAACCACCGGCGCTACTGGAAGGTGAGACTCGGCCTGCGGTGGGCCCTCTCGTTGCGGCGCCTGGCAGGGCGAGAGCTCGAAGTATTGCTCGGCCACTGTACGTTCGTTGGTTTGATGTGCCGGGAGACCCTGTCCGTGTGGCACACCGTCTACACCTTCATCCGTGAGCGGTACTGGGCCAAGAGCGACATGTGGGAGTCCGCACGTCAGGAGCTCGAGTGCTTCCTTGGGCTGATGCCGCTCCTTCGGTCTGAGTGGGATCGGCCGTGGCTCACGCAAGTACTGTCCGTGGACGCCAGCCCGTACGGCTGGGGGATAGCCAGCTCCGAGTTCGGAGTGTCGATGGTGGAAAAACAGGGCAGGATTCTTGAGCGATCTCGTTTCCGTCGACTCGGAGGGTTGCCGCTCGGGCCAGTGCCCTCGCCGCCGCGGGGTTCGTCTACTCACCAACCACCGATCGCTGGCAGGTCGACGATGAGAAAGAGCGTGACCCTTCGGACGTTCGGGAAGCTGGAGCTTGGGAGATGCGTGAGGATTTCCCTGAGATCCCTGGGGCCCTCCTCCACGGGGATCGGTGGCGCTTGATTTTGCATGGTAAGTGGGCCTACTCCGAGGATATCCTGATTCTCGAGGCCCGCGTCCTGGTCAAAGCTGTCGCAAGAGTTTGTAATTGCGTTCCAGGTGGATTCTGCAGAGTATTGTTATTGGGAGATAATATGTCAGTTATATTAGCTTGTGAAAGATTTCGGGCCCGCAGCTTCGGGCTCTTGGCGCAGATCAGACGAATCGCGGCCTACGCTTTGGGCCGAGGGGTTCGATTTGGGTTCAGGTGGCATCCCTCAGAGCTCAACAGTAGCGACGCTGGGTCCCGTATCTACGACCCCAACTACGACTCCACGAAGGATCTCACTCGCCTGGTGGCTGACGGACACGGACCCGGAGACGTCCTGCCTCAGCCTGCGGATCCACCTCGGTCCGTCGACGTGCCGGCTCAAGTTCCCGAATCGCTCGAGAACCCAGATTCTCTTGCCTGCACCGTATTCCACGACTGCCAGGATGCGGGCCCGCAGCCTGGTGGCGCCGAGCCAAACCATCGCTGGCCAGAGGAGCTGGCTCACGACGGTCGGAGCGCGTCCGATGACGACTTCCTGTCCGCCTTCAGCGACCACGGGGCTAACGACGAGGCCTACTTGGCTGCGACCGGAGACACGCTCGATGCTGGATACTGGGAAGGTGCCCCCAACCAGGGGGTCCCAGGTGACTCTGGCAGCCAAAAGGCCCGCCTGGGCTACAGTAGCAGTCACGGCCGCTGCCATCGCCGCGGCCGCCGACGTGGACAGCGATGGCACTACTATGGCCGACGAGATGGAGAGGAGTCTCGAAGGCAAGACGCCCGCTCGCCTGCTAGTTCGGTGGACCATCGCGGTGGAGTTCGCGAGGCGGGACGAGCTTGTCATGGGTGTCGCCGTGATGAACGGAGTCAGCCGCTACCTCAGGCCAGAGCTCCTCAACCGTACCTCGGCCAACCTGGTGGCACCGGGGTCGCTGGTGTCGCAGTGCTGGAGCCTCCTTTTGCATCCTTCAGAGAGTGCAAAGAGGAGCCAGGTCGGCAATGCGGACGATTCGCTGACCATCGTCTCGGCCCACATGCTGCCGTGGGGTCACGTCTTCCTCCAGGCCTTGAAGGAGAAGGGCGGCCAGCTGTGGTCCTTCGATTGTTTCACCTTCTGGGCGAAGTCGAAGACTGTCGCCAAGACGTTGGGCTTGTTGCACCTTGTACCGTGCCTGATGAGACATTCGTGGACGTGGATAGATCGCCTCAAGCCAGATCGCAGCCAGGAGGGAAGTCAGAGGCTCGGAAGGTGGAAGCGCTGGAAGAGTCTCACACGCTACAAGAGAGCCCGCCTTGGAAGCTTCTGGAACCAGCTCGCTGCCGAGATGCCAGCACACGTGTTTTTGTGCATGGGCCAGTTCGTCGAGTTCCTCTGGTCGCCCAAGCTCGCTCCAAGGCCACCGCCCGTCCGCGGCTAGTTAAGGACGGCACCTACATGGCCGACCTGTTCTCGGGCTCAGGCAAAGTTGCTCGAGCGGTCACTCGGCTGGGGTTCTCAGCCTACCCCTCTCGCCTTGCCACTGCTCTGGCTAAATCTCTTGCCGCTAAGAAGCACGCTTCCTGTTCGTACCACTCGGGCGGCCCCGCTCGTACCAAGGCCCAATGAGGCTCTTGCCTTGTTTGTTTTCGTTTTTCCCCTCCTCTCTTCCCCTCCTTCGCCCCCGTGAACCCTTTTCTATTCGGGATGTTTGGAATGCCTTGGACGTGTGATTCTAACGATCTCACGTCGTCCCAGCTGTGTGTTATAACCCTGTCAGATAGTAGCAGACGTTCTCCGCTGGAAAAATACGGTCTCATTATGTTAGTGCGTGCACGGGAATGATGAGAAAGGTTTTTCGGGTGTCGTGTCCAGGCTTGGCCCCTCGCGTTGCTCATCGCAACCGCTCGGGCTCAAGCGTCAAAGGCACCCACCCTTTCGAACAATGTTCTCCCATCCCATACTTCCATTATACTTTGCAGAATGCCTTGGACGCGTGATTCTAACGATCTCACGTCGTCCCAGCTGTGTGTTATAACCCTGTCAGATAGTAGCAGACGTTCTCCGCTGGAAAAATACGGTCTCTATAATGTCTTATCTTATTACTCCATTAGGCCTGTCCTTATATCTTATCTATTATCCTACCTTGTCATATATCTTATCTTGCCTTATCATATATTGTGCTATCTTATCTTACATTGTAGTATCTTATCTTGTCTTGTCTTATCTGGTGATTATCATTGGGAGGAGGGAGGCGCGAGCGGGAGGAAGGAGGAAGGAGTCCGCGCGTGGGAGGCGTCAGAGTAATAACAAGAACCCCAATCCTTAGGATATGGGGAATAAAACTGCGTCGGAAATCCACTTTTTTGAGGCCGAAAAAGTAGGGCGGAAATTCCTGCACCCAGCATAAAGTAGGGCGGAAATCCGCAGAAGTAGGACAGAAACAGCAGCAGAAAAGTAGGGCGGAAATTGGCATCAGTGGGGCTTGAAAAGTAAGGCGGAAATTCCAAGCCCTACTTACGAATTTCCCCAAAGTAGGGCGGATCCGGAGTCAGGGGGGGCCGCAGCTGGGGTTCCAGATGGCGGGGTGGAGGTGCACGAGGTCTCAGCCAGTTTGTGTCCGCGGTCAGTACGCGCCCGTGCCACTGAAGCCGTGCATGGATCTACACGCGGAGGGAGGAGATGCGCGAGGGTGGCCCAGCTTGGTTGGGTCCCCAGACAGACAGCGCTCGTGCCATTGGGGCCATAGTTGGGATGCCCTCGTGTAGCGAAGCACCTACTTTGGAAAAAGACGCATCTCCCAAGGCGAGCCGCGCGGATGTGCCCCGGGACACCAGCGAGGTGTTTCGTCGCGAGCTGCCCGCGCGGGAGAGCGCGCTGACGTCCTCTAGCTGCATGGCGGACGTGTTTATTTGACACCCTTTCTCGAGCTCGGGACGTGCAAGATGAGATTTGCACACGTCCTCTGCAGCTCGCACTTGGCAATAAGTGATGGGCGCTACCTCGCGCTCGCAGTCTCACCTACTAGATCGAGTTTCACCCGCATCAGATCTGGCGAGGTCTTGCATGTCCAGTCGGCGCTGCACGGGAGCTCGGTGTTTTGCACTTTGCGCGGGCAGGAGGCGAAGGGCGAGGCAGAGGGCGAGAGGCGAGGCAGAGGCCTTCCGGCGGGCAGCGGACGTGGAGAGCTGTAGCTAGTCATCCGCGCGAAAGCGCTGCGGTGGGCGGCGCGGGAGTCCCCCAGACCTCTGGGGGACCAGTGTTCGTACACCGGTTTTGTCATTGCCTCCACCCAGGCCAGTTCGATCGGATCTTCGTGTTTTTTTTTGTTGGGGGGGGGGGGGGCGCTTTGCAGAGAAGGAAAAGGTAGCCGTACCTCTACCCCCTCGCCCGTTTTTTCCTCTTTTCGGGCCTCCGTGGAGGCCGCAGTCGGCACCGCTGGATTCGCCTCGAAACCTGAGTCAGACCGCACGCCAGGAGAACCCTGTGGTTTCCCCAGCTTTGGTCGCAATGTTTGCTCTCGACGGTCCCGCGCCTCTGCTTCTCCCCATTGCCCCCCTACCTTTGTGGAAGTCGACTGGTCGACTGCCGGAGAGGAAGCATGCTGCCAAAGAAGTTCCAGATGTCTGAGAGATGTTTCAGAAAAATCTTGGATCTATTAAAGCCATGTCTGACACTTCGTTAGGACACGTTTTACACATTTTAAACAAGTCTGTAGTTAGTGATAGGATTGTTGGAGTGTCCATTGTCGTGGCATCCACAATCCTACCTCCGAACATATTAAAAACATGCTTGACACTTTTTTAGAACATGCTTTACACATGTTGAACGCATCTCTAATTCAATGATAGGATTGTTGGGGTGTCCATTGTCATGGCATCCACAACCCTACCCCCGAACCCCCGAAGGCCCCTCGCCCGGCCCCAAGGCTCCACGCTCCGGCGCGCCGCCTGCTCTCGTGGCTGCGGGCCGCCTGCAAGGAGGAGGCTGAAGAGCGCATCGCGCACGCACGCACACACGCACACACACACACACACACACACACACACGCGCACGCACACGCACACGCGCACGCACGCGCACGCACACGCACACGCACACACACACACACACACACACACACGCACACGCGCACGCGCACGCACACGCACACGCACACGCGCACGCACACACGCGCACGCACACGCACACGCACACGCACGCGCGCACGCACACGCACACGCACGCGCACACGCACGCGCGCACACCTTCGGAGGCCTCGTGAGGACACGGGACAGCTCGGCCAGTGAGCACCACGACTCGGAGCCCCGCCGCTCGGTGGCCCCGCGGGTGGGTCGGCGGACGAGCGCCCCGCATGGCCCCCGCAAGCGCACGCTGCGCCGAGCCGGGTCTGCCCGGAGGAGGAGGTAGGAGGAGGAGGAGGAGGGGGAGGAGGAGGAGGAGGGGGAGGAGGAGGAGGAGAAGGAGGAGGAGGAGGAGGAGGAGGAGGAGGAGGAGGGGGGGAGGGAGGTAGAGAGTGAGGCGGAGGAGGAGGGAGGGGAGGAGTGGAGGGGGGGAGGGGAGAGAGCTTCGCGCAGCACGATTGCCGAGCCGCAACCGCGCGGCGCCTGGCCTCAAATAGCGCCATTTGGGCTCTGGCGCATCCAGCGGCGGGCCTCGGGGTGCCCAGCGCTCGCCGCAGGCTCGGCGCGCCCCTGTAGCTGCCTGCCCGCGGCCCTGTGTTCGATTGGACGTAAGAGTGACCTTTCGCCAGAGTGACCTCTGGCGCGGGCCCAAGGGGTGACCTTTCGCCGGAGGGACCTTTCGCCGGAGGGACCTTTCGCCGGAGTGGCCTTTCGCCGGAGTGACCTCTGGTTCCCCTGGTCGCCAAACGCGATGCGATGGCAGCGTCTTGGGCGCTTGTGTTTGGTCCCCCCGCGGTCCCCAAAAGGCCGCGCACCAAAGGCCACTCTTACCCAGGGTCACTCCTGCGCGCAGTCGATGGTGTTCAGGGCACGCGAGCGAGGCCTCTTTTCCATCCTTGTCTGTGTCTCTGCGCGGCGGACTGCGATGAAAGCGCCGCCCGGCACCGCTCAGGGCTCGGTGCCTCATGACCCAGACCCCCGACGTAATGATTTTTTCATTACGTCGACCCCCAGAGGTCCCGACCCCGGCCCGACTCCTGTCCTTCCCTGGCTGACCCACGGCGGACTTTGCACGCTGAGGATGGGAGGTAATTTTTTTGCATCCTGAGAGAGTCGTTTTTTTTTTTTTTTTGGACGCTACGAGCCCGAAGGCCCCGTGAGGGCCCCAGATGCTTCAAATTAGGAAAAACCCAGCCGTCATGGATTTTTTTTTTTTTTTTCATTACTCGAGGGGCGAGGGGGTCTGGGGGGACCGCAGTTTCTCACCAGAGCTGTTTCGGCCCTCGCGGAGGGTGATTCATTTCACACAAGTTCAGTCCCGCATAACCCGCCGAGTTGGTCACAAGCAAGAGAGAGACAAGCCATAAACGAAGCTTGTGTGGGGGCCGGCGGCGCTCGGGCCGGCGGCGCTGCCCCTCCGCCCTGGTCGGCGCGCGGCGCCCCGTACGCGCGCCGCGGAGCCCCGGTCGCTGAAAAGTTGCGGGGAGGTGCCCGTGATATTGGCCACCCTGACTCCCTGTGACGAGAGACAGGGAGGAGGAGGAGGAGGAGGAGGAGGAGGAGGAGGAGGAGGAGGAGGAGGAGGAGGAGGAAGAGGGCCTCGCGAGTCGCTGCTTGACGCTCCCGAGGCCCAGCGAGGGCCCCTGGAGGCCGAGATCGGCCAAGAATCCCGCCGCTCCCATTTTTGCTGGAGCGTCGGCCCTGACTCCAGATCCGCCCTACTTTGGTTTTTTTTTCCAGCATAAAACTGCGTCGGGAATCCACCTACATGAGGCCAAAAAAGCAGGGCGGACATTCCTGCACCCAGCACAAGGGTAGGGCGGAAGTCCGCAGAAGTAGGGCAGAAGCAGCAGCAGAAAAGTGGGGCGGACATTGGCATCATCGGGGGTGGACAGAACCCCCAACAGTGACACGTCGATTAGTGAATCGTCCGTTTTCGGTTTTCGAGAGGGCGTCGTGGCCGTTATTTTCCAGGCTTGCGCCCGCCAAGTTTGGGCCTCAGGTCGTTTTCACTAAACCACGGTTTGCTAAAGGGGGTCTGTCCATCTCCGATCCAGATCCGCCCTACTTTGGTTTTTTTTCCAGCATAAAACTGCGTCGGGAATCCACTTATATGAGGCCGAAACAGTATAGGGCGGACATTCCTGCACCCAGCATCAAAGCAGGGCGGACATCCGCAGAAGTAGGGCAGAAGCAGCAGCAGAAAAGTGGGGCGGACATTGGCATCAGTGGGGCTTGAAAAGTAGGGCGGAAATTCCTGCACCCAGCATAAAAGTAGGGCGGAAATCCGCAGAAGCAGGGCAGAAACAGCAGCAGAAAAGTGGGGCGGACATTGGCATCCGTGGGGCCTGAAAAGTATAGGGCGGAAATTCCAAGCCCTATACTTACGAATTTCCCCAAAGTGGGGCGGATCCGGAGTCAGGGCAGAGGGTCCACACATGCACACACACGCACACACACACACACACGCACACATACACACACACACACAAAAACATACACACACACACACAAACAAACACACACACACACACAAACACACACACACGCACACACACACACACTTTTTAGGGAGCCCACAAAGGACGTACGCGCCCAGCTATGTACATGAACACGGCCCCTCGATCCGCGAGACCGGCCGCGTTATACGAACATTTGCGCAATGCGTACTCTCGAAACCAGCGTGGATTCATGTACGTGTACGTCCTTTTGTCGCTCCTGACTTTTTGGTCCTGCGGGTCCGAGAGCGGGCCTCTTCTGGTTACGAGCTAGGCGGGGCGCGCAAAGCACCAATTGGGGAGACAGAGCACAGGCGGGCGGGGGGCCTCCGGCGGCCGGAGGGCGCGGGGTGCAGGCGGTGCCGAAGAGCTTGCACACGAAAAGGTACGCGCCTTGGACAGGAGCCGCCACACACACACACACACATATCCCCTCTCGCCTTGCCACTGCTCTGGCTAGATCTCTTGCCGCTAAGAAGCACGCTTCCTGCTCGTACAACTCAGGCGGCCCCGTTCGTACCAAGGCCCAATGAGGCCCATGCCTGGCTTTGTTTTCGGTTTTTCCCCTCCTCTCTTCCCCTCCTTCGCCCCTGTCAACCCTTTTTCTATTCGGGATGTTTGGAATGCCTTGGACGTGTGATTCTAACGATCTCACGTCGTCCCAGCTGTGTGTTATAACCCTGTCAGATAGTAGCAGACGTTCTCCGCTGGAAAAATACGGTCTCATTATGTTAGTGCGTGCACGGGAATGATGAGAAAGGTTTTTCGGGTGTCGTGTCCAGGCTTTGCCCCTCGCGTTGCTCATCGCAACCGCTCGGGCTCAAGCATCAAAGGCACCCACCCTTTCGAACAATGTTCTCCCATCCCTTACTTCCATTATACTTTGCAGAATGCCTTGGACGTGTGATTCTAACGATCTCACGTCGTCCCAGCTGTGTGTTATAACCCTGTCAGATAGTAGCAGACGTTCCCCGCTGGAAAAATACGGTCTCATTATGTCTTATCTTATTATTCCATAGGCTGTCTTATCTTATCTATTATCCTACCTTGTCATATATCTTATCTTGCCTTATCATATATTGTGCTATCTTATCTTACATTGTAGTATCTTATCTTGTCTTGTCTTATCTGGTGATTATCATTGGGAGGAGGGAGGCGCGAGCGGGAGGAAGGAGGAAGGAGTCCGCGCGTGGGAGGCGTCAGAGTAATAACAAGAACCCCAATCCTTAGGATATGGGGAATAAAACTGCGTCGGAAATCCACTTTTTTGAGGCCGAAAAAGTAGGGCGGAAATTCCTGCACCCAGCATAAAGTAGGGCGGAAATCCGCAGAAGTAGGACAGAAACAGCAGCAGAAAAGTAGGGCGGAAATTGGCATCAGTGGGGCTTGAAAAGTAAGGCGGAAATTCCAAGCCCTACTTACGAATTTCCCCAAAGTAGGGCGGATCCGGAGTCAGGGGGGGCCGCAGCTGGGGTTCCAGATGGCGGGGTGGAGGTGCACGAGGTCTCAGCCAGTTTGTGTCCGCGGTCAGTACGCGCCCGTGCCACTGAAGCCGTGCATGGATCTACACGCGGAGGGAGGAGATGCGCGAGGGTGGCCCAGCTTGGTTGGGTCCCCAGACAGACAGCGCTCGTGCCATTGGGGCCATAGTTGGGATGCCCTCGTGTAGCGAAGCACCTACTTTGGAAAAAGACGCATCTCCCAAGGCGAGCCGCGCGGATGTGCCCCGGGACACCAGCGAGGTGTTTCGTCGCGAGCTGCCCGCGCGGGAGAGCGCGCTGACGTCCTCTAGCTGCATGGCGGACGTGTTTATTTGACACCCTTTCTCGAGCTCGGGACGTGCAAGATGAGATTTGCACACGTCCTCTGCAGCTCGCACTTGGCAATAAGTGATGGGCGCTACCTCGCGCTCGCAGTCTCACCTACTAGATCGAGTTTCACCCGCATCAGATCTGGCGAGGTCTTGCATGTCCAGTCGGCGCTGCACGGGAGCTCGGTGTTTTGCACTTTGCGCGGGCAGGAGGCGAAGGGCGAGGCAGAGGGCGAGAGGCGAGGCAGAGGCCTTCCGGCGGGCAGCGGACGTGGAGAGCTGTAGCTAGTCATCCGCGCGAAAGCGCTGCGGTGGGCGGCGCGGGAGTCCCCCAGACCTCTGGGGGACCAGTGTTCGTACACCGGTTTTGTCATTGCCTCCACCCAGGCCAGTTCGATCGGATCTTCGTGTTTTTTTTTGTTGGGGGGGGGGGGGGCGCTTTGCAGAGAAGGAAAAGGTAGCCGTACCTCTACCCCCTCGCCCGTTTTTTCCTCTTTTCGGGCCTCCGTGGAGGCCGCAGTCGGCACCGCTGGATTCGCCTCGAAACCTGAGTCAGACCGCACGCCAGGAGAACCCTGTGGTTTCCCCAGCTTTGGTCGCAATGTTTGCTCTCGACGGTCCCGCGCCTCTGCTTCTCCCCATTGCCCCCCTACCTTTGTGGAAGTCGACTGGTCGACTGCCGGAGAGGAAGCATGCTGCCAAAGAAGTTCCAGATGTCTGAGAGATGTTTCAGAAAAATCTTGGATCTATTAAAGCCATGTCTGACACTTCGTTAGGACACGTTTTACACATTTTAAACAAGTCTGTAGTTAGTGATAGGATTGTTGGAGTGTCCATTGTCGTGGCATCCACAATCCTACCTCCGAACATATTAAAAACATGCTTGACACTTTTTTAGAACATGCTTTACACATGTTGAACGCATCTCTAATTCAATGATAGGATTGTTGGGGTGTCCATTGTCATGGCATCCACA